CAGAGCGTCACGTTATTTAAAGGGGACGTTAACGCGTTAACGAGTAGCAAATGATTAAGTAGCTGCATTGGTTACTTTTATGCCACTGATAAAGCTTTTATATGTAGTTTGGGGTAACAAAGGGGTTTTATAGGTTTGACTGAAATAATAATGCACTAACTGACACTTTAAATCAATGTTTCGAGAAACAACAACAAAAAAATTGAACAAAAAACAGATAAAGACAAAAAAAGTAGCCATTGATAATATCTAAACAATATGTCGTAGTATAGTATATAGCATCCAAATCAAAATGTAATAAAATTAATTTATGTGTGATTTATGTGTAAATTATGTGCAATGTCTTAGCCACTAGGGATTGTTACATAGTGTTACGGGGCTGACAAGACTTGAGACGTGCGGATCCATGTGCTATTTATTAGCAGAAGACAGAGACGTGGTCATAGAACAGGCATGGGTCAGATAATGGCAGACAGGTATATGGCGGGCAAGACACAAGAAGAAACCTAAGGCTAGCGGAGGTCAATGATCGGCAAACAGAATCAAAGGGGCGAGACTCGAGGGATAAGTCCAGGTACAAGGCAAGGTCCAGGCAGGGGCAACCAGTATCAAAATAGGGCAAGACGAGAGGAGGAATCCGAGAGACACAGGCGAAGATCAAGATACGAGAACACAGACAAGGCAAGACTAAGGTGAGGCTATGACAAACTAAACAGGCTCCTTAGTGTAGCTATCGCTAGGGGAGAGAAAATAATTATATATATATATATATAGAATAGGAATAGGGATTTCGCCTAGGGCGTCAAATTGGCTAGAAACGGCCCTGGGTACAATAATGCAAAATATAGATCTCTTTTGATGGCAAATCATTTTGTGTGATCTGCTGCATACTCCTTATGCCACCAAATCTGTGACCAACTGATCAAAAGCCTGCAATGTCATTCCCTCAGACTTTTAATATAAACATGAATGTAACCTGTATTCAACTGATCATAATGCTGTTTAATTTAAAGCTAGATTTGGAACATACAACTTTGTCTGTTTGTCATACTAATAACTAAAAACATGGGGTGAGTTACAAGTCAGGATCTATTATATCCTACTATATGCAGTGGAAGAAGCTTGCAAAGAAGAGTTTGGAAAAAGGAAAATGAAAATCCAGCATAAACCAGCTTGAATTGGTCCAGGTTGATTTATGCTGGTTAGAGCTGGTATAGTGCTGATATATTGCTGGCTTAGCTGATAGACCACTTAAAGGGTTAGTTCACCCAAAAATGAAAATTAGGCTGTGTAGTCTTTCTGGGGGGGAAAAAACTGTAATTGTGTTACAAATGATGTTTACAATAGTATTATGTTTACATTTTGCACATTTAATGTACCTCTTAACGCCATACACTGTTGACAGACCAGTCTGCCTGGCAAAAAAATAAATAATAATAATAATGTGAAAGTTTTACAAATTGTGTGCACTTGCTAGAATTTGTATATTTTTATGTTTACATTTTGCACATTTAATGTACCTCTTAAAGACAGACACTGTTGACAGTTAGTCTTTCTGGGGGGGAAAAAACTGTAATTGTGTTACAAATGATGTTTACAATAGTATTATGTTTTTAGTCCATTTAGTCCATATTTGACCCAAAGTTGGGTTGAAACAACCCAGCATTTTTTAGAGTGTATATATACTGTATATACTGTATATATATAATATATATATTAATGATTTTATGCTAATAAATAAATAATGGATCTCAGTATGAACTTTTGTGTCCTTAATTGTAACTATTATATTTTATTTTATGTATAAAATAGATTTATAAATGGAAATAACAACAAAATATTACAATTCCAATAAAAATGCTCATTTTTCGAAAAAAAACTATGCTGTTTGCATTAACACAGCCATGTGTTAATGTCAAATTTTTTTTCTTTTTTTTTTTAAAAAACAAGGCATAATGGTTAACACGGATGTATTTTCATCACATCTTCCTCTTCCAAACTAGACAATGCCTGTCTTCATCATGCAAGGCCAGTTTATTGGCCAGCATACTCCAGACTGACTCTTTTGAAATGGGCCGTGAGGTTTACATTAGGGAAGACACTTTTACACAGAGGAGAGGAGACAAAAAATACAGCAGCAATGTCCATTAGCCAACCTATCAATCATTTCCCACTGGGATCCTCTTCAAACTGCTTTATTTATAACTCCTTCTGAGGCAGAGTTAAGAAAGGATGAGCGCTTACGGAGAGCGAGCTGTGAGGATGCCATTTACATTTGTGACCATTAGGTTTCACAAGATAACAGAGCCATTCCATGTGTGAGAACAGCCTTTCTGAGAAATTAAGATGAGTTGTAAATCACAAGGACAGGTTACTTCACGAGTGTTGATATTTTGCTCAGGTGAATATGTTTTCCTCCAGTAAACTCAAATGAGAGGCAGCAGATAAGAGTGGCTAATGAAATTCCTCTGTGGAATAACAGATAAGTGGAGCATACAGCCGCGTACACAGAAACCTGTTCTGTCTGGTGTTAGTCTGCCGGTTAGTCCAATTAGAAAAAGACAAAAGATGATCATAGTGCTTTATAAAAGCTGATTAACATTCACGTTCTTGAAAAAGCACAGTTACGCGTTATTGCATCACTAGACAAAGACGCAATAATGACTACTAACTGAGAAACGTGATGTCCGATCATGCAGTTTATTTTTATTTTTTTTATTGTTTGTCTGCATGACTTCTTCATTTCATCGGTGCATCAAAGCACATATGAGCCCTACAGAATATAAAATACATACAAAATAAAAAACATACAAAATACATGATTCAGGAGAAGCATTACTGCAATATGGAGAACTGTTCTGTACAGTCAATTCCCCAAACAGATCACAGTAAAAGGCCACATTAATATTTTGCTGGTGTCATTAAAATGTACTCTCCATTTACAGTTGCTCTAAAACAATGTTAAAGCACATATGAGCCCTACAGAATATAAAATACATACAAAATAAAAAACATACAAAATACATGATTCAGGAGAAGCATTACTGCAATATGGAGAACTGTTCTGTACAGTCAATTCCCCAAACAGATCACAGTAATAGGCCACATTAATATTTTGCTGGTGTCATTAAAATGTATTCTCCATTTACAGTTGCTCTAAAACAATGTTTTTGTTTGTTTGTTTGTTTGATCATTTTGGCTGTTAATGCAATTCTAATATTTCATCCTCATTTTCTTTCATAAATCTATTTTACACTAAGCACAAAACATATTTCCACTCAGGACCTTAAGAACAAAAATGTCACCACTGAAACCCAATAAAACTGCAATATTTAATCCCAGTGTCATTTAAGCATAAAATCATGCATTTATTGTTAATAGGCTTTCATTCTATTGGCAATTTTCCACACAATGGCATCACTTTTTGAGGTTTGGCCTATAGAGAAAGTTATGTGTGTGAGTGTGTGTGAGTGTGTGTGTGTGTGCACGCGCATCAAAATGAATGTTGTTTCATTGACTTATCCAAGAATAATATAATAATAATAATAATCTGCTTAGAATTTAGTATATGGAAAATATTTTGAGTGTGTGTGTGTGTGTGTGTTTTAAGAAAGAACAGTGACATTATGTGAACAAACTGGCAATAAGGGATAAAATATTTTTTGGTAGTTATGATCAGGACTGATGTCGGTAAAAAAAACTGTCAGTGAAAGCGGAAAAAAGTTAATGTATAATATTTTTATGACTGTTTTTTGACATGTTTTTGTCCTCTAAGGACCTCTGTGACTTTGATCTTGCAGCATTATTGAGATGCTCCATTAAATCTCACAGGTTCACTATTATCTTCAAAATGTTCTGCACAAGCCACTGCTAAAAACTGAGCTAGCTGATGTGATATTAAACCGAGCTCACATCCAAAATATTCAGACTTTGTCTCGTCAGTTCAGTAAGCATAGATAAGTCAGCTGCGATGCACAAATCACTGGTGTGTACTTGCTAAACGTCACAAAACACAGCTTCAAATATTACCACAAAACACTGTGACCCAGTTCTCCAATGCAATTTGATGAAATCAGGAGCTTAACGGGGTTAATAGCACTGGCTGTGTAATTAACACATAGAGCTGCAATTTGAAGTCCACAACTGCCTTACATGGTGGTGTAACAGACCCTCGAGTGACAGAACGGCTGCTCTTTATTTCCTACAAGATCTGCTTGAGTGTTAGTTTGGAGAAAGCCAAAGAACTCCACTGCTGCCAACCGATAAACATGGTGGAAATCAATGACAGTAAGCTGCCATCTTTTGGGACTCATTAAGTTTAACGGTTGCTCTGCGTGTTGTGTAACAGCGAAGGGAAATTTCTAACGACTGTAAAAACATCTGCTGAAGGCGGTGGATTTTCATACGGAGTTCCTCTAGTATACAGGAATCACGCGTCTGAAAGCATTGCGTTTAGTCAAGTATATTGTGAAGCCAAGGCACACTGAAAGAAATAATCAACTCTCTGAAAAAAAGGTACAAAAGCTGTCAGGGGCGGTATTTTTTCAAAAGTACACTTTTGTACCTTTTAGGTGCTAATATGTAAGCTTTAGGTACTAATATGCATCTTTATGGTACCAATATGCACACTTTACATAAAAAAGGTGTACCTTTTGAAAAGGTAATGTCCCAGTGACAGCTTTTGTACCTTTTTCCTGAGAGCAAAACATACAGAGATAGAAGTTAGAACTCAAGAAAGTCTATGCTCTGGTCATTAAAAAAGACTCAAATGTGACTTAAATTACATTTATAAAAGACAGAAGGCAATAAACATTGAGCCAGTGTTAAATGATTTTAGTCCAGGGACGTCTGGTACTGTGAGCAAGGCTCAGATCCATTATTTTTTGCCGTATGTTATCCTGAGCCAGACACTGTTATGTCTGAAGTACATGTAAGGTTACTGTGTGTGTCTCTGGTGTCGTGAGGTGAACAGCATCACGGTGAGCCGCAGTCATCAAACGCACCACCACAGAAGTTCAGCGGTGTCAGTCCCCCGGTTCCATGTGTTCTCAAAGTCATCACATTCAAACCTCTCTTCCCTGCGTGTCCTGCGATAGAAAAGAACAGACCGGGAGAAGAGCATCTACTGAGTAAACAGCGTGAGACTGAGCTGTAAATGTCCAGTCCAGACATAAACACAGGATTCAGTGTTTCATCAGACAAGCACAGAGCAGATTGTCATTTACTCTAGGGCTGGGTTGATAATATCAGTTTTGATTTTGATGAACCAGTATTGATTCTCAAATCCTAAAATCTATCTTCGATGAGCATCCATTAGAAAACAGTCGCCAGACATGCGGCTATACTGCAATGTGCTTGTGCAAAAATATTTTATGTTTTTTAAAGATGTTTCTTCTGCTCATCAAGGCTCGTCATGCATTTATTTGATCAAAAATACAGAAAAAACTGTACAATTTAAAAATAACCGTTTTCTTTTAATATCATTTATTTCTGTGATGCAAAGCTGAATTTCTTCAGCCATTACTCCAGTCTTCAGTGTCACATGATCCTTCAGAAGTCATTTTAATGCTGATTTATTATCTGTGTTGGAAACAGTAGTGCTGCTTAATATTGTATAAACCTTTGATGAATAAAAATTTTTAAAAAACAGCATTTATTTCAAATAGAAAACTTTTTAAATAGAAAATTCAGCTTTGCTTCACAGAAAAAAAAAATATTTTTTAAGTATATTAAAAGAGAAAACCATTATTTTAAATTCTGATAATATTTCACAATATTACTGTTTTTCTGTATTTTTGTTCAAATAAATGTAGCCTTGATGAACAGAAGAGACTTAAAAAAATATTAAAAATCTTACTAATCCCAAACTTTAGAACGGCAGTGTACACAGTTAGTTTGCACTCAGAAATGGGCGTGTGCCTAATGTATGACTCCTGTATGTTACTGTAATTGGTTTTATCCTGATCACAATTATCATCCATTAAAACTTTACTAACGAGACACTGGTTTGATTTATTCAGCCCATACAGACTAGTTCTGACTTTAGCAGTGCCTTGTTACATTGAAAAAAATTCATCCTATTTAAAAAAGGCCCTTCCCTAAGGGCAAGTTATTTATTTTTCTTTGGCTCAAGTTAAAAAATATAGATGTGAATCATTACCCTAAATTTTTTTAATTGGATGAATAAAAAATTTTTTTCAGTGTAGGGGTGATAAAATAATTCCTTTTCGAAATGGATTTGAGGATGCTGATTGGATAAATTTTGTCATACTTTGAACATGTTTATTCTGTATCTTAAATCAACTGCTATAGGCCCGCCTCACCCCAGAACTGAACTTGAGACTGAACTTGAATGTGAAGGCATAGTGGACATACTGTATAAGGAAAGCATATATTTTGCACAGGTGATTTTCTATCATATTATATTATATAATTTATATTTATTCTTATTACTTTTTAGTGTGTGTGTGTGTGTGTGTGTGGTTCAGGGAGGGCAGAGCCCTAGCACCCTCTATATTGGCCAGCTGCCATTAATTGTCTAGATTCATAATAGTGTTTCTTTCACAGCCCAGCCTGTCTGCCTTTCTGCTCTGTCTCACTGCTCAGGTGAACAACACACTTTCATTAACCCTAAACACAATCACACAGACACAGAGGTCACACTTCCACATCTGTGCTTCAAACATCCATCTGTCTCTGTGTGAGTGAGTGTGTGTGTGTGTGTGAGTGAGTGTTAGGGGTAGGGTTGGTGTAGGGCGATAGAATATACGGTTTGTACAGTATAAAAACCATTACGCCTATGGAATGTCCCCACAATTCACAAAAACAAACCTGTGTGTGTGTGCGTGCGTGCGTGCGTGCGTGCGTGCGTTTGATTTTAGTCTGTGGATTTCAATCTGATCTGTTCCAGATTTCATCATTCAAACGTATTTATTGAGTCTTTCTCATGGTTTATAGTTTCTCATAGATTTAAACAGGGCTTGCTTTATGTACATCTTCAACAATGATGTCTTAGTCTTTTAATTTATGCTTGTTTCCCTTGTATTTTATTGCTGTAACTGTTATTGTGCATCACTTTGGCATATAGTCATTTTCACATGCCTTACAAATAAATAGACTTGAAATTAGGTGAGTAAACAGTGCACACACACACACACACATTGTTTTTCTATCAGGTTAATGATATTATCCATAATCTAACACAATCTGTTCCCTAAACATAACCCTCAGAGGAACCTGTGCAAACGACATGATCTGACTGATTTATAAGCCTTTTAAACTAGTGATGTCCGGCTCACTAGTCAATGTTCATCAGGTTTTACTATATCACTGCAGACATTTTTGAATAATGAGAACGTTTTGGTAAATGTAGACACACACACTCGAGTTTCTCTGTGTTATATAAAGGGATTGGACAGCATAATGTGAACACCCATTATTACAGGGGTTAATAAATGCAGGCGAAAGTGAAACAAATGCTGCAATTATGTTTTATTTATCTTTTGGTTGACTATATTGTGTAGTTTTTATATTAGTGTAATTCTATAAAAAAGGAGAAGTCATATGAGCTTGTTTAGCAGGAGCGTCTGTAACAGCCCAATTATTTGGTGTTTACAGAACAACATCTTTAGGATTATGATTGAGTACACAAAGCATGACTTCATCAGAGAAGAAGAAAAGTGAATGATAGGGACTGTCAATCACTAGGAAGGATTGTGGCCAAACAACACAGAACTACTGCAGCAAAGTGATGACAACATTCACTGTGAAGACCTGTGTCCACAGAAATCAACCACAGAGAACTGAGCTAACATCACTGAAAGAGCTGCAACTGCTAAAACTTTCATCACAGACACCTATGCTAAATGGGGAAAGATGGAGTCATGATTATAAAACCTGGACAGTTTGAGCACCAAGATATAAATCAGCTGAGTATTATCAAACCACTGTGGATGGAGAAGCAGATTCCCTCCCCCAGTATCTCTGAAACAACTGGCAGATGTTTTATAGGCAACATTCAACTATTCAGAAGCTCTATGAACTTATTCTAGGAAGGTTTGAAGCTGTATTAATGGCAAATGGCGGTAAACTACCTTAATAATGAAATACTGCATGCTTCCCATGTGCAGATATTTTTATTTCAGGATGATTATTATAATTATTTTAAAGAAGCCTGTTTGTTTAAGTTTTTGCCATTCAAAAGTTTGGGATTAGTAAGATTTTTAATACTTTTTAAAGAAGTCTCTTCTGCTCATCAAGGCTGCATTTATTTGATCAAAAACACAGAAAAACAGTAATATTTTAAAATATTATTATAACTTAAAACAATGGTTTTCTATTTTAATATACTTTAAAATATAATTTATTCTGTGATGCAAAGTTGAATTTTCTCTTTAAAAAAATATATATTTTAAATAAATTCTGTTCTTTTTTGCTTTTTATTCATCAAAGAATCCTGAATAAAAGGGTTATAAAAAAGATTAAGCAGCACAACTGTTTCCAACACTGATAATAAATCAGCATTAAAATGATTTCTGACGGATCATGTGACACTGAAGACTGGCGTAATGGCTGAAGAAATTCAGCTTTGCATCACAGAAATAAATGATATTTTAAAGTATATTAAAAGAAAGAAAACTATTAAAAGAAAATTGATATTGTTAAATATTAATAATATTTCACAATATTACAATTTTTTCTGTATTTTTGATCAAATGGGCCCTACATGCAGTCTTGATGAGCATAAGAAACGTATTTAAAAACTTTTTTTTTTTTTTAACCTTACTGATCCCAAACTTGTGAACGTTGGTGTACATGTGTTACACACATTTGTTTTCTTCAGGTTTAAGCTCTGCGAGTCAGTGCCATGAAACACTGGAGCTTCAAGAATGAATGGACACTGACACCTAGTGTTTCTCTGTGGAACTATATACATAATAAATATACACTAATATATATATATACACACACACACACACACACACATTACTTATGTTACTTGGTACAATCTTCACATTATATTCCTGCAAAGACAGAATATGTACTGGTAATTGCTGTCCTGGGGGAAAACGTGAGTGTTTTAGACCATACATGAGGGCTCAGCCTTGACAATGAGACACAGCTCAGACCTCACTCATCTGGAAGACCTCGATTAGCTGGTTCAGGTGTGTTTAATGAGGTTTGGAGCTCAACTCGGCAGGACAGCGGCCCTCCAAGAGCACTAATGAAGATTAGCATTTGTGCTAGAAGGTAAAGAAATCTTAAAGAGATGTATAAAATTCGAACTTGACGCGCAATTAATGGGAAGTGCTTCTTTCCCTTTTATGATCCTTTAATTCTGGTCTGTCTGGACTCAGAGAGCTGCTCTTGTGATCTATAATGCATATTGTGAAGAGCAGTTTGGAATAATTTCCAGAAGTCTCAGCCGTGGAGGCCTGGCGGAAGCAGATGAGATGGAAAAAAAAACATCCATTTAATGGCCTGAAATATTCTCTGTCAACTTGGCAGGGCTTTGAACGTGCTGCTGAATATTCAGATGCCGACACGTCTCTTGTCCTAAGCTGATCAATGATAGAGAATCATTAAATAACTCATGGCTTGATTTTACTTCGGGACCTGAGCTGCTGTTCTTTGAGAACGAAGCAGCGATGGATGTTCATGTTCATTATTGATGCATCATTGGTGTGGGGGAGTTTGAAGAACCATCCTGAGCTCAGATCATTTGATTGAACGCAGCTTCCTAGTTCCTACAGCAATTAGCCTTCTGAACGTTAGAAATAGCTGAAGACCTCACGCATGTGTGTGTTACTACCCTGGATAACAATACTGAAAAAATCACACACACGTTACAATTTACATGTCAAAGCTGTAGTTCCTAATTCCCGTGTTATGGATTGTCTGGGGATCATGTTAACTGGGGATATGTGTGTGAACATACTTTCCAGCAGATGTCAGACAGCGATAGATTTGTCACATGCAATATTACATGGATCATAGATTTAAAAAGCTATGTCTTATTTATAAACATTGATGTGAATATTAGACCACTTTGATTTTTGTTTGTTTCTGTGCATTTGACAAAGTTTAA